TTTTAAATTATGTACATTTTAAAGTAAATTAAAAAGAATACCAATCAAAAGCATGTTGCGGTTTCCATTGTCAAATGCTCTCTGCATGACTCGCCGCACTGGACAGGAACTCCAAATGTAAGAGTCATGTCGTGCTCCCGGAAACCTAGCATTGACGTTGAGTATTTTTAAATTTGGGTCACATATCTATAAAAGCATAACAAATAATTATCGCTCGACTTTTATTTAAAATACTTAGCTCACCATTTGAACATTTATCGAGTGATAGCCATGATGGTTCACGTATGCTTCCTCATGAGTTTTAGGACCCAAAATAGAAACATGCGTGCAGTCTACCGCTCCAATAGTTCCTCCAACGAAAGGCGCAGGTGCTGAAGCAAACACTTCCTTGGCAGCTTGACGGTCCACCTGCGTCATAGGGAACTTAACCTCCTCAAAAAATAGTCCACTGTTTATGGCATCAGTTACGCGATGTATACAACGGCTTATAGATGATTGGCTCATTGATATGCCCCACTGTTCCCCTACAGGCCGTTGGTAGCATCCTGTGGCATAGAAGCGTAGTGTACACAAAACCTTCAAAGATAAAAGATTATTTGGGAAATGTTTAGTTATTTGTACAATGATTTTGTGGTGCGGAGCGGAGGGGGAGAGGGTGTGACACCTAAAACCATACCCGTTAGAAAGAGCAGTCAAAACTCCCCTCTCTGACCCCTCTACAGACTACAGGCCCATTTGAAAATGGGTTCACCCCATTAGTATTTCAACATGGAAGCCACATCGAAACTTACAAAAAAGTCCATAATTAAAACCGGTTTTATTAATAAACTAGTGCTTGGAAATTTGAAATCTTTGTTTTAAATTAAAGTTTAATCCTTGGAATACACGCGTATGTTAAACTTTTTAGATTCGAGTCACGCGTTTGGGCATCATTGTACAGATAACTAAACCGTACCCAGGAAATTATTGTATACATACTACATATCCAAAATTGCATGCTCTCATTATTTGAAGATTTACCTGTTTTTCCGCCGATATTGAGGTAATCCTTTTACCTTTCAATTGGATTTCCAGCCGCTGGATGAGCTCCATTGCAGTCTCTGGGCCCACACGATATAGCTTCCGGAACTCGGAAGGCGCCAGCTCAAATGGATCGTGAATGTCGCGGAGCAAACGCCGATCCACTGTGGGAGTATTTCTGACTCCATAGTTTCGGTGTAAACTATACGCCACATATTCGAACGCCATTCCTTTTTTATTTAAATTCACTTTGATTTACTTGCGCGCAAATTCGTTTGGTTAACACAAACTTAACAACACCAAATGAGATGTCGATAACTTAACCATAAACGAATCGTTAACGAAACAGCTGATTTTCACTTATCGAATATCGATAAGAAAGTACTTATTGAATAGCAAAATCTTTAAAATTATCGTTTAGCTAAATTAGCCACTGCGAATGTCGTTAAAAAGGTTACCGAATCGCACTACAGGTCAACGCCATTTTTAGTGCGATTATAGTATGTTATTATTTCCGGCTTTCGTTGATCTCCGGTGTCAGAATCAATCGCTGTATCGTTGTGCATTGTAGACATGGCTATTACCACTTTGTTGGCTTTTGGTACATAAGAAACCAGAGTACATGGAGAGTGGAATCCAAATTTTGAGGAGCATATTGGATTGCCTCTAGCTATTCTAAATTCCCGGGGAACTTCTCTTTTATCTTTGCGAACGGTAGCAACCATTGTAGTTCCATTATCAAATAATTGCTTTGCAATTTTCAGAGAGGAAAACCAATTGTCCATAGTAATATTGCTATGTCTATTCAAAATTGGTTGCACCATTCTCATCACTATATCAAATCTCTCGTTGCTTAACCGAAATGGACCTTCGGGTTGTTGGCCGGCGTAAATTTCTAAGTTATAGGTGTATGGGTAATGAACATCTACAAGTGCAAAAACTTTCAGTCCATACTTAGCAGGTTTACTTGGAATATACTGCCGAAATGAACAACGCCCTCTGAAGGACAAGAGTTGTTCGTCCAAAGTCATTTCAGCACTTGGTGTAAAATACCTTTGAAAATTTCCAAGAACCAAATCAAATATTTCGCGAATAGGCGCTAGTTTATCGATGCTTGCACGATCTTGACGTTCAGTAATATCATCAAATCGTATAACTCTAAGAAGGAACTTAAATCGTTGTTCAGACATGGTCAAATATATTGAATCTATTCCAGTGTGTTTTTCGTTATCAAATATTTGACTTGTACTGGAACGGCTTACCTTTAAAGCACCAGCCATTAGTAAAATTCCTAAAAATCCTTTGATTTCAATTTCATCTGTTGATTTGGCATCCCTTTCACGTGCATATTTAGTCTTAATACTTTCAATTTTTATATTAGTATATTTTATAATGAGACCAATTATATTATCGTCTAAAAAAAGTGACATACAGTCCTCGGGTTTGGTTTTTTGCCGAGCGATTCCTTTAGGACCCGGGGGCTTGAACACAATATTATGCCTTCTTGTTCTACCCCTATTAGCAGGGGCATTCTTTGTCCACACAGTATTATCAACGCCTAGATAAATTTCTCCACGTCTGTCTCGCTGAGGGGGCTCATTATCGTAGTCAGATACTTGATTACACACGTCTTGCTCTTGCTCGGATTCTGTGTCAGACCACTCCTCTCCAATAAAATCCTCTTCGTCTTCTAAACTTGATAAATCGTCATCAAATTCATCACTTTCAATTTCGTCCAACCACGCTGCAATCTGATTTTCTGTCCTATTTGCCATGATCTTCAAACCCAAAGAAATTTATATGTACGAGTAGCGTACATATGTAAATATTATCAGAAAAGTTCCACAAAATTTTAAAATAAAAAAGTATGCCCAAAATCCACTTTTCTTTACAAAGTATAACTAGCTATTAGCATAAAACCTAATTTAAAATACTTACGTAATCGGTCGCGCGGCATACATACGTAGACCATGAGTTTCAGGAACCTCTAGCGACACAACTGCACGCAACAATTAACAGCGGAACACTGAGAGTGACTCTCTATTTGTTAGTTACAAGTAGCAAAAATCTCCGATAAAATCGATGCACCATTTTCAAGAAATATGAAATTTAACTATGGTGGATTACATATGTAGACCGCGCGACTACTGCAGGGTTAATTTATATTCAGCCCAATTCTGAATATTCCTGGGGAGTTTGTTCTCCGGGAATTCGTGTCTCCCGAGAAAGTAATCTTCCAACTAATAAATCCCAGTGAGTAGCA